CCGGGCTGCGGAGGGCGACGGAGGACGCCGGGAGGCTCCTGGACGGCCGGGAGGGACCGGCTGGAGGTGAGGATGTGGGGCGGGCCGGCGGAGGGGGGATCCGCGTCAGGCCAAGCGACATGGGCACTGGAGTAGCGAGGCCTGCTAGCAGCCCAGCCCGCAAAGGCTTGGGGTGAAGGGCAGCAGCCTTGGCGGGGCTTGCCGGAGACGGAGCAGGCCATGGGCTTCTAGGCCTCTGCAAGCAGGGCAGTGAGGAGAACCACCTTGGCCTGAATCGGCCAGGCCATCTCCCTTAAAAGATGCCACTCCTCCTCCAGTATCGCTACGCTTGTTCCTTCGTCACCCGGCCTTTTTCGGCATTAGAGCATTTGCCCCTCGCCCTCAGAAATAAAGTTTCTGCGAGCCCGAAGAGAAAGGCGAGGGCGTTCTTTGGCCAGCAGGAGCAGCCTCCTTTGGAGTTGGTCTCCCAGCGGGCGCTCCTGTGACAGGCACCCTGACGGTCAGGACGGACTGGCCTCGATTCCTCTGCTCAGAACGGTGCAGGGCCTCTGAGCATCCAGGGGCTGTTCAGGCGGCGGCAGCCGCCGATGAGGATACGTGAGCTTTGTGGCAGACTGGAGGTGCCAGCCAGTCCAGTTCTCCCTCTCGAGTGCGTCCTGCTCTTGCCAGCACAGCTTATCCGTAGCCCGAAGGCATCTTTCAACTTGAGTGGTGGGCAGATAAGAGCTCCCCTCTCTCCAGGTCACTCCTGACCACAAGCCTCGGCTTCTTCCTTTGCAAAACAGGCTTTCCCGGCTGTGCTCAGATTCAGCCACTCAGTGGGACCAAAGGCGGACTAGAGCTCTCCCCTCACAGCACCAATTCTTTCTGAGGCCCCTTTAGGCTCCCTTGAGAAGGCACCCTTGGGTCATGGCTCCTAAAAGGCCCGTGGGCACCTCTTAGCTCAGAACTGGTGCAGCTGTGTCACAATATGAAGATTTCTGAAGCGAGAATCTCTCTGACTCACAAGCTTCCGTCCTGAAAAGTTGGCCCACATCAACGCCTCCTGGCCTGTGGTGGGCAAGCTTTGTCCCAGTCACTAACATGACATGGCTTTGTCCCAGTCATACGAGATTTAAACAAGTGGTCCCACAGACCACTAGCCCCCCAGCCTTTTAGCCTAGGTTAGTTTCTTAGGCAAGGATCTCCCACTCCTGGCCTCCACAAGACCCCTTGCCTCAACGTGAGAAGAGCACCACTGTGAAGGACAGTCTTCAGCCTAACTTCAGCCTCCTGGAGTTTCCAGATTCTTGACAGAGCGGCAGTTCCCAGGTTCCCCCAAGAAGAGGAAGTGACTGCATCTGTGGTCGGCTTGTGGCTTGACAGCAAGAGGAGCTGTGACGCGGAGCAGAGGCGAAGGCTGCTGCCTCTCAAATGCAGAAGGACCAGTGGCTCTTAGGGGAGTTTGGAAACAAAGATCGTCCCCTGTGGCGTAGGGCCTTGGAAACCGAGCTGCCTGGAAGGTCTCTTGCAGGGGTAGTTGGCTTATCCTTCCGCACAGATGCCTGGACCCTGCGTACCGCCCCCCCCCCGCCAAGGTTTCAAAAATGGAAAATTGGCTTACAGAGCACCAGACCCAGCCGAGAGCTACAGGCCCCCTCAGACCTCTCTCCATGGAGGGGTGGTAGCTGAAGCCCAGATAAGCGCTTGGCACAGAGAGGGTGCCCTGCTATCTCTGGGTAGGAAAATCACTGACAATCAGTGCTGAGCTAAGAGGGACCAACATTCCCACGTGGTATTGTTTCTTCAGAGCAGCAAGCAGAGGAGAATAAAAATGCTCCTAGCCCCCAAAAAGTAAATATACCCCCCCCCCAAAAAGAGGCATTAGGGCACTGAACAATTCAGTAGACAAATGGAAAAAAAAACAGCAGTCCCCAGTAAGAGTTGAGCAGCCCATCACAGTACAGGGAAGATGGGTGAATGGGACTGCTGGGATTTTAAAAGGAGGCCCCGTTTCTGAGTGCCTTTTGGAGCACCGGTATTTGAAGGAAAAGGCTGCTCCTGTGAGCTGACTTTTATTGCACCAATTCTGCTGCTCTGGGGGGTGGGAGGAAGCCAAGGCACCCTCAAATGCCGTTGAATGGTTTCAGCTGCTCTGCTTTGTTTTCCAGAGGGGCTGAAAGGCCAAGCCAGTTCCACGTGAAGAAGGGGCAGATATCCCGGAGGAAACCCACTGCCTGGCACCTGAGCAGGACGTGCCCCACGGGGGCCTTTTTTCTGGGACCTGATCTCCAGGAAAGAGCTCGGAGGGAGGTGCACGTCAGAGCTCAGGAATTTGCAAAACACATTCTTGAGCGTTGTTAGGATCTCCTCACACGTAAACAGGAATCAAGGCCCCAGGGGGAGGGAGAGCTCCAGGCTTGGCACCGGACACTCGAATCACATTCCAGTGGGAGATGCGGCTTCAGCTCAACTCCTCTGCATCTGAGTGGGCTTAGCCACGTGGGGCGGGAAGACAACTAGCCAGCCAGAGCTGTCCCCACGTCCGTTTCCTTGCTGCTTGCCCAGCCAGCCTGCGACGCGTAACCCTGCCAGCGAAGCCCTCTTCCCAGGAACGAGGTCCAGAGAGCTGGATCTGCAAGCGTAATTCCAAAAGTCTTGCGTGACCAGTGACGTGAAACTTCACCCCTTGCCTTGCACAGAGAGTGTGGACGGCCCAGGCCGCGACCAGCACGACAGCAGGAGCCATCTTGGCAGCGCGCTCCGGGATGCGCGTCTGCCCTGCCGTCTTCCGCCAGCACTACCCCTTCATGGTCCGCACCCGGTTCAAAGCCTGGCTCGCTGCAAGCACCTTCTAGCCTCATGCAGGACGCTTTTGGAGAAACCAGAACCACGGACAGGAACGTGAAGAGCCTCCTCATGTCATGTCTGAAAGGGCAGCAGGTCATCATCAAAATGGAGGCCATGAAGATTATCCACCCAGAAAAGTTCTCGGAGCTGCAAAGCTCCCAGTCACGCTATGTCCCGGCACCCCGCCGGGACCCTCCCCTGGTTGCCAAGCGGGCCTGGCCTTCGGAATCCGAGATCATCGTTAATCAGGCCTGCGGGGATATCCCAGCCTTAGACAACAATCCAGGGTCCCTGGGGCTGTCACGGACCCCGCCCTTGCCCCGGCGCGAGAGGCTGTACCAAGGGCAGCGTAAGGGCAGCTCCGACATCTGCTACCACCGCCAAACGCCAACCTCGGACGAGGTGATCGTCAACCAGTACGTACTGCACCCTTCCACTCCCTGCGAGCCACTGGAATGCCCCACCTGCGGCCACACGTACAACTTCACCAACAAACGCCCGCGCATCCTCTCCTGCCTGCACTCGGTGTGCGAGGAATGCCTGCAGATCCTCTACGAGTCCTGCCCCAAGTATAAGTTCATTTCCTGCCCCACCTGCAAGAGGGAGACAGTGCTCTTCACTGACTACGGCCTGGCCGCCCTGGCAGTGAACACCAGCATTCTCAACAGGCTGCCAACTGAAGCCCTCTCGGCCAACCAGGTGCAGTGGAGCAGCGAGACGGACCGCGGCTGCTATCAGACCTTCCGCCAGTACTGTGGGGCAGCCTGCACTTGCCACATCCGGAACCCGCTGTCTTCTTGTGCCATCATGTAAGCTGCGTGTTTCCGACCCTGCCCCCGGTCTGCCCAAAGTCTTTCGCCAGCCTCAGCAGTGGGACTGTACGAGAGAGAACAGTGTGGCTTCCGCAGGCCCTGGGAGACGCCACGGTGGACCAGGCTAGCCCCCGGTCGGTTTTCTGGGATCGGAAACTACCTGGCTGCAGACTCCCCTTGTGTTTTGGTGGCTAGAATGGAATGGCTGCTGCTGTGAGGAGAGATGCGTTGTGGAAGTAACCCTGGGGTCAGACCTGGCATGGAGGCTTGCTCCCAGTTGCAGGCTGCTGGAAGAACCATCAGGAAGACCACTGCCATCCCCTTCCCTTCGCCTCCCCTTCCTCTGTGCATCTGAGGGACCCCAAGCCATGCTGGGATTGGATCTTCAAGGGTTGGGTTTGATCTCGTTCTTCTCAGCTCACGGCTTAGTCCCAGTGGGTTACATTTGTACCAGTGGTGAGAACAGGGTGGTTGTTGGGAGAAGAATTGCCAAGGCAGGATCCTGGAACAATACATAAATGATGCCAGGCAGGGCCTGTGCTGGAAGCCAATGCAGACGCCGGTTTTAAGTTATTTGCCAAAGCTTCTGATTCTGTGGCCAAGTGTTATAAATTCACTCAGTGCTGCCAACTGAAGTCCAGTTGCAAATAGGAGTTCCATAAAGAATCACCGTTTTCCCGATGCAAATTCTTAACGGAAGCGGAAAACAAATGTACATTTTAAATCCTCATTTTGGAGGATGCATTCCTCACCACTGTTTCAGAAATGCATCTTGTTTGGGCCCTTGCTGCTGAATAAAATGGACTGAGATTGCGGTGATCCTTGGGTTGCGTCCCTTTGGGCCAGAGGAAAGGTGCACCCACACCAATGGAAGTTCACAGACCTGGCAGGCAGCATCTTCCCTCCTGTGACATTGAACTTCCTCCTAGGAAAAGGAAGGTGAACCCCGGTCTCTCCCATTTAGGGCCATTTCAGGAGCAAACAGGGTGTGGGTCACTCTCCAACTGCTAGCCAGGTCCCACCTCGCGATTACAGCGCTGTGTATAAAGACCTCTCAGTTCACGAAAAAGGCCTTCCCAACTGAAGGGCAAATACATAGCGCCCCGTGCATTTTGACCGTTGGAACGCCACAGCGGTATCAGGCGGGGGGGAAGAGAAGACTTACTTCCTCTGGCAGAGCTTGGTCTTGGTCTCTCCCTTGGGGGAGGCATCAGTCTTGCAAAACATTCTCTGCCAAGTTAGAAAAAAAAAAGCCATAACTTGATCTGTGTCCAATCAACACCGGAGGCCAGGCTCACAGAAAAGGGCACACCTTAGTGAACCATCTCTTGAGGTTCAGCCCCACTTGCCCGTGGCCCGGGAGAGAACGGGACAGCTGAGTTTCTGGCTTTCTCCAGCAATCCGGGCAGGTTTAGATTTAGTTTAAGTTGCCCTACGGGCCGTTCCGGAAGTAAGCCTGACAGGGTGCTCACAGCTGGCAGCGGGGCACAAAGGAACATCACTAGGTCACGCTGAGTTCAAAATCTAGAGAAGCCACAGCACAAGGAGGTTGGGAGCAAATCTGGGAGTAGGCCTTGTGGTAGTCTAACAAATCCTCATGGTAGAGTTCAGAGCTGCCTCAGAAGAGGGACGCTTGACTCCTGCCAACCAGGGATACAAACAGAGGCAAAAGGGCAGAGCTGCCTGATCCAGGCTGCAGGGCTGGGAAGGTGAATTGAGTCCCCTGGATCGATCTCAAGGAATGGGCAGTGAAGTGCGAAGTTCCTCGGTGGCCTGGGGACTTCCAGTCCAACCACCCAGGAACACCTTGGGTCAGGAAATGTCTGGAATTGGCTTGGCCGAATTGCCCGTACCCCTGGTAGGCAGACAAGCCTTGCCCAAAGCCCAGGTGGATGGTCTGCAGTGGGCACAGGAGAGGGAAGGAGGCGGCTGCAGCCATCAACCCAGAAAACAAGATTACGGTTATGATGAAGATCCTGTTTTATACCTGGTGGTCTTGTTAACCCTCAGCCAAATCTCCTAAATAAAGAATGCTCCTGAACCAAAACAGACACATGCTCTCCATTCAAAAGGTACACGTGTGTGCGTGTGCGTGTGTGTGTGTAGAGAGAGGCCAGCCTGCAAAGGGTCCTTACAGAGGATTGGGGTGTGGAACAACCTGGGGCAGGACTGGGCAAGCGTAGGACCACAAACACATCGTGCAGAGCAGGTACAGGCTTAAGCCAGCTGCTCCCTCACCCCACAGAACCAGGGCATGAACGTCTGGGAGGGGGAATCTGCAGCGGCACTCTTAGCAGACTTTGGCCAGCATTCGTTGTACAGGGAGGGAGGCCAAGTGGTCCAGCCATCCTACGACCATCCTGAGCCTGCACTCTGCCTGAGAACCAAAGCTGTGACATTTCCTGCCTGCTCTGCTCCTTCTCCTCAGAGATGCCATCCTCTCCCTGGCGCATGAATTCCTTCCTAACTCTTGCCACTCGTGCACTGTAGGTTAAAAGACTGTGCTTGGCCCGTAGAATCAAGACCACTTGGGGTAATGGAGGTGGGGTGCGGAGGCGTGGGTTCTGCTCCAGGTTCTCTGCTGGGTTCCTCACCATGCCAAGTCTCGGTGGTGGCGGTGGGGAGGCTGTGGCCCATGGCTGCCTCCTCTTTCTTCCCCCAGCCCCTATCAGCACCAGTGGGGCAAAAGGCTATTCTAACGACGCACTCATTTCATGGCAACTGTCTTTCAAAGCACATAAAAAGGTCAGAAGAAATGCTCCCTTCAAGCCATGAAAGAGAAATCCAGGTCTATGGAGACCTTACGGAGAAGCAATGCCAACCTCTTTGCAAACTCCGCATTCAAAAAGCAAAAGGACCAGCAAGTCCAGTTAGGCCCCAGTGGTAACATGCACGTTTACTCGAGAACAACTGGGGAGCCTTCTGGGGTCTCCAGCGTAGCCAGAGTGGAACTGGTGCCAGGCATCTGGTCTCTGAGCAACTGCAGCGTGCTCTCTTTTTGCCAGGGCCGCCTCAAAGATCTGGGCTGCAGGCTTCTGGTCAGACCTCCTCGGCTGATTTCTCTGTCTGCATCCAGAGACCCCGGGCAGATGGCTCAGCCTGACTCAGTTAGAGCACCTTCATTATCCTCATAAACAAGCACAACATGAAAACCTGCAGCCAAGATGGAATTTAATTTTCTTATCCAGAACCGTTTTGAAAACACTGAACGGCCAACTGAAGGGGAAGCTTTGTGAAACCTGAGCTCACCCAGTGGGTCTCCAAGAGGCCAAATTTTCCTCCCCTTGAGGAGGCAGGCAGTCCCCTGCCACCCAAGAGCCACATGGAGCCTGGGGCACAAACTGAACGTCAGGGGGGCAAACCAGGAAGGCAAACCAGTTTCTCTGGACCAGTTTGTACAGATGCAACTAGCTGGCAAGGGGGAGAGGAGGAAGGGGCAGCGGTGTTGTTTCTGCCCCCCCCAGCTCCCTTTTCTGGGGAAGCAGCTCTCCCTATTCTTTTCCTGGCTCACTGTTGCAAAGAACCAAGGCAGGCTTGGCTTCATCAGATCTTCCTCTCCTGCATCATCCCCCATTTCTGGAAAAATACTTCTTCCTGTTTTTGAATTATTTACTGAAATCTTGTTAATCTCTCCTAAGAGATTAAGTTTCTGAGGGGGTGGAAGATGGTGTGGGTGAATTCACATGCATGGATGCTAAGGCACCACACAATGGACCCCCCCCCCCACC